GCGTGTGTCCACAGGCACGTCTGGGCCTTGCGGGGCTGGCTGGCCCAGGATGGCATGCAGCCAGTCATAGTGGGGGCAGGTGTCTGGTCCTGCCCCGCTGCCCTCGCTGGCCAGCAGCAGCTCCTTCACCTTCACCCGGACCTGGTCGATGTTCCGGGCAGGGTGTCCATGCTGGGCCAGCGCCTCGGCCATGCAGCCGAAGATATCAGCGTTGCGGCGCCGGGACCTCATATCGTGGAGACCCTCCTCCTCCTTCCAGAGGCCAAGCTCTCTGGGGAACCAGGAGGAAGCACGTCTTTTGTGGCCCCTGGGGGCCTCCTACGCTGGGGGTGCAGGTGGCTCACCGCCCGGAGCTGCCATGGCTGGGCTGTGATGGGTGCTGAGCAGGACAGGGGCGCTGTGGCAGACCTCAGGCCCAAGAGCTCTGTGGCACAGTCCTGCCACGTGCACTAAGCAGCCTGAGTGTTCTTCAAGAGCTTGTGTTACCAGGAAGTCCGGGGCAAAAGCGTTAACTAGCTGTCTACACTGGCCCTTTTGCGCAACAGTTTTTCGGAAAAAGGACTTTTGCCCGAACGGGAGCAGCAGAGCTTTTCCAGAAAAGTGGCTGATTTAGCACAGTAGATCATCATTGCTTTTGCGGAAAATCAAGTGGCCAGTGTAGACAGCTGGCAAGTTTTTCCGGAAAAGCGGCTGATTTTCCGGAAAATCTTGCCAGTCTAGACATAGCCCCCTAGTAATCACAATGTTATGGATGTGTCCATTACAAAAAAGTACAAATCTAAAATGCTATTTGGACTAGTTTCAGGGAGGTAGCCTTTTAATCTGCTTCAGAAAAAACAAGGAGTCCAGTGGCGCCTTAAAGAACAATAATTTTATTATGGTATAAGCTTTTGTGAGTCACAAATCACTTCATCAGGTGCATCTGATGAAGTGATTTGCAATTCACAAAAGCTTATGTCATAATAAAGTTGTTAGTCTTTAGGCTGCCAGTGGAATAGTTTTTGCTATTCAGACTGTATATTGCAATGTATATAACTTCCAACTCTGTGGCATCACTACACATACCCACTTAGGCAAGAGAAAACAAGAGAAAATTAGAGCTTATTAATTTAATACTAAGCAATGCTGCAGGTTTCAATATCTTCCGGCCCATCACAAAAATACATAATAAAAGCAAATATATCTTGGTCTGCCTCCCACACGCATTGCATCAAGCTTAAATGGCTACCCTATTTTCAGCTTCCTCTTTGCTGCCAAGCTGTAAAAACAAAAGATTTCAAAGGTTCAAGGAGTTCAGGAACATTTAATTATGGGGAGCCAAAACCTGCTTCCATTTACACCAATGCAACTCCACTGACCAATCTGCATAGCAGCCACTTAAAGTCACTGGAATTTCTTGGGTATAATAAGGACAGAATTTGAGCCACAACTCAGTAAAACTAGAGAGTGGATAAATTCTAGGGAAATCTCAGAATTAAGGAGTCACAACATCAGGAACTCCACTGCTCTGAATATCCATCTCTGAGGCAGACTGGATAAAAAGAAAAATGACATCATTTTAGAGACAGCTTCTATGCAACTGTTAGCTGAGGAGAGGGAATCATCCTTCAGGTCAGAACTGATGAAGTAAGGATGAGCATAGGATGGAAAGAAGAAAATGTGCTGCGTAGCTTCCCCACTTTGCTCACACTAAGTAGTTCAGTTTCTTTTTCCATGTGAGAGTACCATTGATATCAGTACAGCTACTTTAAAAATAAGATACAATCCAATGTACAGGTGTCAGAGTTAGATCATTAGTAACTACACAGATTTTGGTTACTGCAATTTTTAAGCGAGCGCAAACATCACATATTCATTATCTGGAGAGATGACACTTTTCCATGAAGCTTAAAGGGATTATTATAGTCTGTGTGTCATTTACAGATTTGGGGGTTGCATTCTTCAGACATGAATGTCACTGACTACACTAGGAACTGTAAGCATTATTCCAATGTAAGCCCATATACCTAAGGTGCACTTTTTAAAACAATAAAATGTAAGTGTAAGCTAAAGGGAGGTTAAATGGCAGGTTTTTTTTTTAAATGTACCTGTATGTGGAGTGACGATACAAATATACTTTTCTCTCCTCATTAACAATCTTTCTAAAAACTCATTTCACCACAGAGATGGAGAGGGTGAGAGATTATGGAAATGACACAGGGGCTTTAAAGAATTAAACAATTTTAATTTTTCAAATACAGAACAGAGAGTAAATTTAGTCATAGGCAATGCAGTCCACCATGTCACATTTTACTCAGCAATAACAATGCCAAAGATTTAAGTCCAATAAATCCCTTATAAGCAAGTCAATTTAAAGAAAAGGCAGAATGATGGCAAAGAACATTCATAACTAAACATTTAAATACATTTCTGGAGTTTGAGCTAAACATACCATGTTGGCCTATAGCCAATGCAGGTGGATTCTTTCTTCCCAATTGCCACACCATATGCTTCACTCCTTCTAAAACATCTCTAGTGAATATTCTAGAGCTGACCCTGCAAGGTACTTATCTTTAGTGTGGGGGAATAGCACTAGTCAAGAGAAGGCCCCCTTCCATTTGAGGGATTACAATTAATCACAGGAGACCAACTATTTGGAAGGGATTTGTGCACCATGCACATTACAATTAAGTTAGCATACAGAAAAATGCTGACTAGCCTTCTTATGGGCCTTTACATATAAGGTGCTGAGTGTCCTCAACTGATGTTGTCTTGAATATCCTCAAAACTTAGTTCTTCAATGCTAATAGTAAAGTACAGCACTTAGTGAATGTCTAGATTAGAACAGACTGGATTTGTCAGTCACACAAATTAAAATGAATGGCTTCTTTTAATCGTAAAGATGAACTGCAAAACAAAATCTGAAGATTGGTGTAATTCTGGATTTTGGTAATACATTCCTCATCTATGCAAGGCACTGAGCTAAGTAATAAACTATAATTTTTTAAAACTGTCGTGAAGTTATGTGTACCACCCACTATGCTACAGATATCTCAGAATACATCATGCTGTTACTTTACTTGGTGGCATAAAACTTCTGGCACTGATAATGCCAGAAAGGAAAAAAAAAAATCTAGGATATCCTTAGCAAAGCAGGAAGTGCTAGTGGATTTCAAAGGAGAAACAATAACTTTTAAAATGTTTGTTTCTATGCCAAATGCCCCCATAGCATTCAAAACACAGGCAAGTCTACACTGAATCTGGGATTTATTTAATGTTGGTCTTTATATGTATCATCTGAAATGGTAATGGTATACTTTAAACAAAGAGAGAGTATTTAAGATGGTGACTCACAAAGATCAAGATTACAAGCTCATAATTAAAAAAAAGATGCTAGAGAGTAGATTCTGAAATTGTGCAAGGATTCTGCTATGCCTCACCAACTGACTAATGGAAGTAACATAGCTACATCCCAGTGCATCATGTTAGAAGTGCATTCCTGTGTCTGATGACAGTCTCACTTTATATTTTCTTCCTATTTGTGTACTTTAATGATATAATCCTCTGCTCTACTATGAATGTCTTTACCAGTTTATTGATATTGTAGAGTTCATAGCTACCATCCAAAGCAAAGAAATAATTAACTACATAAATTATTATTAGAGACTGATATTTCCTGTAAACAGTTGCATATAAATACATAAACAGTGTTGAACAATAGTATTTTATCTCACCCCTACAGAGATATATTGATAATCCATGGATGATGATAAAATCTTGTTTTTATCTTTAAAAAGAGACAATTAAATTTCTTATAATACAACAAAAACTAAGGTAGATTATAAATTATTGTAACAAAATCCAGTTTGTAAGTGGGGTTTTATTAGCTTAAAGTTTTAAGAACTACATTTGGAAGACTTTTCTTTGCCTCTGCTGAACTGAAGACAGCAACAGCATTTAAGCACCTTTCATTTAATAATGAGAACAGTAAGCTCTTCCAGTCACAGAATGAGGTAAAACAATATTCCAAAACTCTCCTCCAGTTTCCTCACATTTTACACTGAATTTTCAGGTGATCATACATACAAATGGAAGAAACTCAAGCAATTGTAAATTACAAAATCATCTCAGATTTAGAAGGCTGCTCTCAGTAAAATGAAAACATATCCTAAGGAAAGCTTTTGTACAAGTGCATGCGTACATATGTGTGTATGAAAAACTATAAGGTGCTTTTCTCTGATTTTTTTAGGTAAAAAAGCATTCAAGAGATATAATGGTCAGTCTTTAGCAGCAATGTAAATGCCGTTTATATGAAAGCAGAGATTTTCTATCAACTATCAGCATACAAATGCAGAAAATACTTTTCTGTAATTCTGTATTAGGTTTCTAACCTACAATAATGATAACTTGGAGATACAGTACATGCTTTTGTGAAGAATGCACATTGCAAAACCTACTGTGTACATGTTAATCATTTTTTAAATGTTCTCCCAGCATATTTCAGTAATTACTTTTGTCAGCTACAGACAAAAGATCTTTGACTTTACAACATTTTGTTAAGAATAGTAATCTCTTTGGTATCAAATTACAGTTTTACATAATGTAAGGCTTTAATATTGTATTAAGTCCTCATTCAATACATACAGTACACTCAAGCTTACAAATGCACCTGATAATTAAATTTGTCTGACCTTGCATTTACACTTGTTATTTACAATGAGAATAGACAGCATTCTAAAGACCCTTCCCTTCCTTCTTTAGAAACATATTTTCAACTCTAACCTGGTTTTTACTTTGGTGATGCTTATTTTTGACACTTGAATACACTGCATTGTAGCTCAACAATGTCAAAATAGAAACAAAAATACACACAGATTCAGACAAATGGAGGGAAAACATTGCTGTTTCCAAAATACCACATCCTGTAGTTAAGTGCCTAGGAACTCTTTCCTGCAGTTTTACTGTAATTCTGAGTGCAAAGGAATACCAGGGCAATTCCAGTGTAATTTTCACATACTGTCCGCCAAATAGGTGAATTCAGTCATTTTCCATGTCACTAAATGACTCGCCCTTTTTGTTGACAATGAGTGTGTGATGTTTCTTCTTGTAATTGTGTGGGACTAGAGACACTGTTGTGCATGCAAAGTACCCATTTAAAAACGTTTGATACTAAAATGATAGGATGTCTTCAATTTCAGCCAGATCTTTGTCAAAAAACTGTCACCATGTTTATAGCTGAAGTTCCATACATTTGCATTTGGTTAAGTCCTGCTGAGTTGATAACCCTTAGATAATATAAAGCTTTCAAACTGCTGATTGTCTGCCTTTTCCTTCACTCTCTGTTCTTCTAATGAAGACACAAGTTTGTCTCTTTCTTCAACTACTTTAATCAGCTCAGTAAAAATTTCATGCTCCTCATTCAGTTCCTGTTCATCTTTTAGGCTATCTAGGAGATTACAAAACAAGGGGTTAAACCACTATTATAAATTGGGATTATTACTGCAGACCAAAACATATAATTCACTTCCCATTTTATTTACCATGAAAGGCCATTTTCTCTCTCAGTTTCTGCTCCAATCTTCTTTGGTGATCCTCAAGTTCCAGTTCTTGGGCTCTAGAAGCAAAAATAAGAATGGCAAAGAATCTGCTCACATAGATTCCTTACAGATTTTAGAACTCAGAAAGTAATAATTTTCATCTGACCTGTTAAAAAGATTGATATACTGTCTCCCATACCTCTGGCCTTAAAAACAAGGTTATGATTATTTTTATGCTATTTCATTGCCAGTGCTGCTGTCCTTTTTTTGTATTGCTACTTTCTGGATCTGTGGTGATAAAATTAGTAGCACACGCACAGTAAGGAGTCATGCTTTTCCTAAAAAATAGTGAGATGCAGCAGAAATATGCTATTATTATTAACCTTAAATCAGAAAAAATTGCAAGATAATTTCCTTTTCTTCTGTAATCACCACCCCTATAATGAACAAATTTTCCATTTTTGGCAACTATCAAGAAAATGAAGCTACAACGCTTCATGATGCTGAGATATTTATGGTAATGTTATTACAGACCTGGACTCTAGGCACTGAATGGACGGTGTATGTCCAGCATCCCCATTATCTGTTCCATACAGTCAGGCTGATCCAAAAGCTTTCTATATTCACGCATTGCAAACTGGACTGCAGCACAATGTAATAGGGATGTGAACATGTACTTGTGTACACAGTTAACCGAGGATCCTGGGCTCACCAGTTAACCCTCATGGTTACATGCACAGGCCCATACACAGGAATTTCGGGGGGGGGGGGGGTTCCTTTTGGTAAATGTGGACTGCAATGTTTTTTAACAAAGAAGGTCAAAATAGGCATGCACTGAGTGTGCATAAGAGAGGATAATGAAAAAAATTGAGTGGACATAGTGATTGGCAAAATGATTTTTTTATAACATACTAAAAATGTATACTGCTTCCTACCCTCCACTAAAAAGTCCTCATTTATATAGTATTAAGATGTACAGTATATGGGATTTCTCTTCTTAACACACAAATGGTCAGATCACAGCCAGAACATTACATAATGGGGATTTCAGAACTGGAATGCCTAACATTTTCTGTTTCTGTTCGCTCCCTCTGGGGCATCTGGCATTGGCCACTATCTGAAAACAGGATATTGGGCTACATGGACCTTTGGTCTGACCCAGAATGGACATTTTTATTAATCTTCTCTGCCCTCCCCCTCCCCAAAAGACTAACCCAATCAACCAGAACACCGCCCCTCCCAAATCAGTGAATGTGAAATGTGAAAGTTAGGTTATCAGTGACTGTGAAAGTTAAAATCCAGATTAAGTAGAGGGATTATGGGACAGCTCTTGGACAATGCCAGAACTGGCCATCAAGCCAGTAATGGATATATACCCTATGATCCAAGTACTCTGTGGCATGGCTAGGGATATATGCAAAGAACAAGTTAAATAGCAGTGGAGCAAGTATGCTTCCTTGTTTTACTCTATTTGGGTACGTCTAGACTTACTTTCACTTTCAAAAGAAGATATGCAAATGTGGTGGTAATTTGCATATCTTCTTTTGATTGCTTTTTGGAAAGAGTTTTTTTTAAAAAAAGCAAGAGTTTAGACATGGTTCTTTAAAAAAAACCCACTTTTTTCGAAAGAAACTTCTTCCTCAAAAATTGAGGTTTACAGGCTCTTTCGAAAAAAGGGGATTTTTTCGAAAGAACCGTGTCTAAACTCTTGCTTTTTTGGAAAAAAAAAAGCAATCAGAAGATATGCAAATTACCACCAGATTTGCATCTCTTCTTTCAAAAGTGAAAGTCTAGACGTACCCTTTGGGATTTCAAATGTATCAGAAGAGTCACCACATGCACTGTCATGTGACCATGGAACAGATGGATGATTTATATGAATCTTCTTGGGCAGTCGTGTTTATATAGAATAGCCCATATGGTGACTGTATCAAAAGCTTCAGTCATGACAGTGAAGACAACATGTTCATTCTCTATTCTAAACATTTTTCCTGGACCTGCCTTATGACAAGCATCATGCCCATAGGACTATGAACTGTTTCAAACCACACTGCATTTCTGGCAGAGTTCTTCAGATATGTTTACAATGAGTTTGTAAAAGGTAAGCCTGTATTTTTTCTGCTGTTCAAGAAAGTGGAATACTTCTGTAGTTTCTGCAGTCAGCATGACTGTCTTTGTTATTTAACAAACAAATTACAATATCTCTGAAAATGTGAGACATTTCTTCTCCCTCCCAAATGCTCCTCAAGATATCTTGAAACACCCCAAAGCTTCTGTAAAGTGCTGCTGGAATACATCCTTTCAAGAACTTTGCCAGATTTCACATGTTTGATGACTTTCACAACTTCATCAATTGATGGAGGGAGGTCAAGATCCCCTGGTGAGTTTGAGTTATTGATAAAGGACCTGCTGATCGACTATGGATGGCCTATTGAGTGGATTAAGGAAGTGTTCAGCCCATCTCTGAATGGTTTCCTCCATGTCTATGATAATAAAGGTAATGCCTCTTGCCAACTTCAAAGGAGCTGTGCCAGATTTAGATGGCCCATAGGCTGCCTTGAGAGAGAGTCAAAGAACAGTTTGTGTGGTTCATATCTGTGTAATGCTAAACTTGCAAAGCTTTCCTCACCCACCACTCATCCTGCATTTGCCTCATTTCATACTGGGCTTTGTTCTTTAGGTGCTTAAGACTATTTTTTCTTGAGACAGAAGCGATATCATTTTACCATTCCACAAATAATTTGCTTGTTGCATGGCAGTTTGGAACTGTCCTCATTCTCATTGAACCTCTCCTAGTATATGTGGCGAGCGCATATTATGGAACTGATGAATGACAGTCACCCACCTGTTCCCAGAACAGAATCCAGGGATTAAGGGATTCTGCCCAGACCTATAGTCCACCACCCACCTAGCTCCAGCAGTAGGGGTAGGAAGCAGCTTTGAGTCACTTAACTGACTCGGTGGCATATTACATGTGGGAGCAAAGGGGCACATTTTAGGACAGTGATGACAGTACTGATGGATCTATATTCAGTTTTAATCCACCTCAGATGTTGACCCCATTCACTCTGTCTGTACTCTATTCCTAAGTAGAGCAGAGTGAATAACTGAATTTTCAGTTCGGTAGCCAAACCATCATATAAAAGCAAACATCCAGGTTGACCCAAAATGGAAATGTTTTTGTTTTCTTGAAAAAATGAAAAACAGAAAACATTTAATTTAACATCAAATGTTGGGGTTGATCCTGCAGGAGGTTGGATTTGATGATCTCCTGAGGGCTCTTTCCGCCCTAGGATTCTATGAAATGAAGCATTTTATTCAGCCCAAATAATGTCTTCCTCTTCCTTTGTCGTCTTGTCTTTTTAGATTTTATTTAACCTTTTAATTAAATCTAGTGAAAAATTCTAAACAAAAGATATTGAACAGAAAAGTCAAAGACGTTTCATTTTGAAAATGCAGAAATGAACATGGTTCTGCTTATGCAGATTCTCTCCCCCTCATCCAATGGAAACTATTTGCCAAATTAGACCAACATTCAGAAATAGTTTTATTTGACCTGAAACTGCATTTTTGAGAGCAAACTTTTCATCCAACACATTTCACCCAGCTCTGTTTTCAAATCTTTCATACATTAGTTTAATCTTCCCTTTCATTTCCTCATGTCACCTAGGAAAAGCTGATATACTGTAGTTTATAAATCTCGCCCCCTCTCCCCACCTGTTTGGTGCCTTGACCAATTTCTTTTCCATTGGATTAAATGCATGGGAGGTCATTAGGCCCTCATTACATGAAAACAGTGCATCCACAAAAAATAGTACTTTGTAATAGCTTTATAGGATCAAGCCACTGTACCACTGGGGAGTTTAAGTGTAAATCTGCGTTTGGAATAGACGATAGCATTGGGTGCATTTATTCTAACACACTTCCAGTGCTAGGAAACAGTAAGGGAAGAAGGAGAAGCATGGACTCTCTCTGTGTGCTAATGGCAATATGCTATGCAAGACACAAAGTGGCAATTTAGCTCAATAATCAGAGCCGCATATATCAAGGGAAAAATCCTGTGTCTGGGACCTAAAATGAGTACATTTTTCTACCCCCCACATCTTTACTACTGATGACAAACTGCGTGTTCTTACTTACACAATCAAGAGCTCAGACTCATAACGAATTAATTTATTCTTCTCCAGGACCAGTTCAAACCATTCGTGTAACAGCTGAGTTTCATCCTGTGTGCCTGAATCTATTTGAGATACAAAAAAAATAAATGTGTTATATAGGGTTTCCTTCTCCTTGATCAAACTATTGTGAAGCTACTGTAAATGATCCTAGTTTATAAGGCTAAATGAATACTATGTAGAACCTTGGTGACAGGATATTTATATCAGTAATTCTCCAGAGTTCCAGATGTATAACACACCTGCTTACATTTTGGTGAATAGTTTAATATAGTTAAGGATATACTGAATTTTAGGCTACAATAAATACAAGGGTATGTCTACACAGCAAAGTTATTTCGAAATAACAACCATTATTTTGAAATAACTTTCCTAGCATCTACACAAGCCAACTGCTATTTCAAAATTAAACCGAAATAGAGGAGGGCTTATTTCAAAATTGGTAAACCTCATTCCATGAGGAATAATGCAAATTTCAAAATTGCTATTTCAAAATAAGCGTTGTGTAGATGCTTATTTCAAAATAGAGGGCCTCCAGCCCTTCACAGGGTGCCCTGCTGGCCGCCCTGGCCACAAGGTAACTTCTGACCTGATAACCTGCTGGAACCAGGTCCGGCTGGCCTTAAATGTGATTCAGTGTCCAATCAGCGTGGACGCGCTATTTTGAAATACCAAAAAGCTATTTCGAAATGCATTTTGTGTCCAGACGCGTTATTTCAAAATAAGAGTAGTGTAGACATATCCCTGTTCCATCTAAAAAATTAGCAGGTTATTTTTTTCCTTTCAAATATTTGTCTACTTCTCTTTGAAACGGTTGCTATTAATTGCTTCTTATTCTGGCATAATTTATGTTAACACTAAGCTCCAGCAGCTGAGTTATCCATTTTACATGGATATCCTCATTAGCACGATCAAATTTAAGGGTGTGCAAAGCTGGCATACGACAACCAGTCCCTCCTCCTGGTGGGCCCCTTACTCTTAATCAAAGTCCTACCACAAGCTGGTTGTAAGAGTATAGACAACTGTTGGATACATCTATTCAATATGGAGCAGATTCCCCAAAATGAAAGCATTTGTTCACTGAGTGTCAGCCTTGCCCCACACAAAGAGATGGCAATGAAAAACTGGCTTCAAGCTGTCATTCAGGGTATATGAGTGGACCTTTGTATTAAGACCTAACACTGTGGGTATGTCTAGACTGCATCCCTCTGTTGGCAGAGGGATGCAGATTAGGCAGGTCAACATAGCAAACAAAGCAGGGATTTAAATATCCCACGCTTCATTTGCATAAAAATGGCCACAGTTTTTGCTGACTCAGCACTTTGTCGGCAAAAAACAGCGGTCTAGAGGGGGATCTGTCGAGAAAGGCCTTTTTCAACAGATCCCTTATGCCTCCTGCATGCCTTTAAATCCCCGCTTAAACTTTTAAATCCCCGCTTCATTTGCAATGTCGACCTGCCTAATCTGCATCCCTCCACCGACAGAGGGATGCAGTCTAGACATACCCTGTGTTAAATAGCCCATCATAATAGAAATGAAGGGCTGAAAGGGATTTGAGAGGTCATCTACCCTTGCCTGAAATGCTGAGGTAGGACCCAGTATACCTGTCCTAGACCATCCCTGATAAGGGTTTGTCTAGTTCAGAGATGGACAAAATACAGCCCATGGGTAACATCCCCCTATCCCTCCATCTTTTTAATCTAGACTTGAGGATAACCAATCCAGCAGTGCAGGGGCTCAAGTAAATTCCTGACACCCCCGCCCTGACCCCATGCTGCTCCTAGAAGGGGGGGAGCGGGAGGAGGGGACAGAGCTCTGTGCACTGCCCTCACAGGCAGGTGCTGTCGCCATAGTTCCCATTTGCTGGGAATGGGGAACTGCAGTCATAGACTCATAGACTTTAAGGTCAGAAGGGACCATTATGATCATCTAGTCTGACCCCCTGCACAGTGCAGGCCACAGAATCTTGCCCACCTCTCCTAGAATAATCCTCTCACCTATGTCTCAGATATTGAAGCCTTCATATACTTTGAAGACCCCAAGATGCAGAGAATCCTCCAGCTGTGATCTGTCCCCCATGCCACAGAGGAAGGCGAAAAACCCCCAGGGCCTCTGCCAATCTACCCTATCATTAGTTTCCATGAGTATTTACTTCATTAAAAACATTAAAGAGGTCTCTATCCATATCCAAATTGGATCCTGGTGGTCTATAACACACCCCAAGCACTATCCCAGGGGAGGATCTGATAGTTTTCTTCCCCAATGTGATTTTTGCCCAAACGGACTCTGTCTTCTCCATTCCATCACTTTTTATTTCTTTACAATCTACCTCATCTTTAATATACAATGCGACTCCACCACCTTTACCCTTATTTCTGTCTTTCCTAAACAGCACATACCCTTCAATACCTGTACTCCAGTCATGTCTAGTATTCCACCATGTTTCTGTTATTCCTATAATATCTGGTTTCACTTCCTGGACCAATAGCTCTAGTTCCTCCTTTTTGTTACCTAGGCTCCTCGCATTGGCGTACAAACATCTTAATTTTTGCTGTTTGGCCTCATTCACATTCTTTACCTAATTTGGCACAGATGTTATACCTCCAATATGACCTAATAGACTAGTATCCACACCACCTTTCCTCATGTTCATTCTCCTACCCCCAGCTATACCCTTTCTTACTTCGTTTTCCTCCCTCTCAGTGTTAAAATCTGGCGTAGAGATTACCTGGGCATCTCCCAACCGTCTCCCCCAAATTCCTAGTTTAAAGCTCTCTTAATAAGTTGAGCCAGCCTCCATCCTAGAAGTCTATTTCCCTCCCTACTTAGGTGAAGTCCATCCCGAGAAAACAGCCCTCTGTCCATAAATGCCTCCCAGTGACCATACATCCCAAAGCCCTCCTTATAGCACCACTGCCTAAGCCATCTATTGATCATCATAATCCTGTCACATCTTAGTTGCCCTTCTCTAAGAACAGGCAGAATCC